AGAAGCTTTTCGGGGAGTCATGTACTGCAGTCAAGAAATCCCGCGAGCGAGCAGCGCGTCGAGCTTTGCAACAAGTCTGAACAGGTGCTCGCCTTGATATCGGCGGAGAAAACAACAACACAACAATGAAAGCATGCACACCCTGACGTGACGCAAGTTGCACAATAAAGGGCTTCTGGGCTTCCGCGATCTTTCCAGGTCATTTTGGATACGGGGCGCTCGTTGTATTTGAGATCTTCGACTTCTCCGGGAGGTCAGGGAGAGACGCAAGGTCGTCTGATTCTAGTGCAAGAGGTTGTGGTTACGTCAGAATGACGCCAAGTTCTCATTGGCTTTGATTGGAAGGATAGTGGGTAGACCCTCAACGCTAGATGCCTTGAGATTTACCCACTATTTTTTTTTTTTTTTTTCCAATCAGCTAACGAAAGCTTGGAGTTCTGACATCATCGCAACCATTGTGCAAGAAGTAGAAGAACTAGCGTTCCGCATAGCTTCCTACTGCGAACAGATGTTGCATACGTCATTCGTAGCTACGGCTGTGGGTTTTAAGTAATGCATTCCAAAAAACAGCGGAGGCGAGAATGCAACGTACGTTGTGGAAGCTCGGCATCAGAACACATGCGAAAAAAACCATTCCCAGATGGCTTTTAAAATTTAATACAATGCGTGACGGCACTAGCCTTGTACAACGACAATGCAAAGCTAACAGGTGTTAAATGAAGAATAAGAAATCCAAGTTTACATCGACTAAGCCGTTCAACTGTGACCTTAGCCTCGTAACTTTTCTTGTCCGTTTTCGCTAACACTTCGAAGCGCACTTCCAGTTACGTCGTTGTGGTTCATGGTTTTCGGAACAGCTCACGTAATCACCAGTCCAGTGACGTAGTTAGGGCTTGGACAGAGCAAATAATGGCGAATAGACACCCCCTCCCCTTGCCAAATGTGCAATTTATCGCTTCCGACAACACATCACACACGGAAACAGCCATAGCGCAAAGCGACACAATCAAAGTGAAAACCATAACCCGAGACCCGCACTCCGTGTTTCAAAGTCTACGCGGAGGCTACGTAAATGAAAAACAATGGTGCGGGCAGTTTGTTCTCCCTCTTTAATATGCCATCTCAAAACCTATTCCGAGCTTTCTTGGCCATCTTATCTCATTCACACGAGGAGAAAAAGTACAAGAGCTCCGCAACGGCCCTTGATCTACTTCGCGTTGAGAATTTCTATTTCCCTGTACACACTTGTAGTTTCTTTCTTTCTTTTTCACATCCTTTTACGAACCTCGGCGGCGGGCTGGCCCGGAGAACACTTCCTCCTCTTATTAAGGATGGGACGGGAAGGAACAAAATGGCCGTTACTAAAGTGCCCGTAATCGGTCGGCTACGCAATCACATTCCGATCCAGCCATTATGCCCAACGTCGTAAGGAAATAAGACGGTCGTCTGATCCACGGGGCAGGCAAGCTGTGCTAAATAACTTCATCCCAGCCGCTACATCCGCTTCAAGGACTGAACAACCCGGCGATGAAAGAGCATCCAAACATATCGCGAACTCACGAAGTTCGATCCTAGACATTTCGGAGGCGCAAAACAGGTGTGAAAAGGGAGGGAGGGGGGGGGGGGGGGGGGGGGGGGGGTTTACACGCAACTGCGCCGGTGGCGAAGCTTTTGCTCGCGCTCATACTACGGATCCTTCCGGCTCAGCTGCGGCGGACGATAGCATGAGTCGGCGACTACAAAAAAAAATAATCGATGACTAGAGTCAATAGTTAATAAGCTAGACTTAAGTATGACAGAATGAGCCCACAATGAGACGAGACAATTCGTTCGAACGGCATCACAAAACGAGCGCGCGAAAAGGCGAGCAGAAAAAGCAGACGACGCCGGACGCGAACCGGAGCAGACGACGAACCGAGCCGCCATAAAAAGCCACCAGCACAGCGGCGCGTCGCAGCCTGATGCGGGGGAGAGGAGGACAACAACACAGGGAGAGGGGGAAGGCAGAGAGAAAGAGAGATAGGAAGAAATAAGGAAGAAAATCCGAGGGAAGGAAGGAAGGACAAGAAAGGGGAGAGGGAAGCGCGCGTCGCCGCCGCCGCCGGGCCGGTCCACAGCTGCTGCTGCCTGGACGCGAGCCAGGGAAGGCGAAGCCATGCAGCACACCAGCGCCGCCGCCATTGCCGGCCGGCGTGCACACAAAGGGGAGCCGGTGCACCTCCGTCGGCGGACGGCGAGGCGCGGGGAAAGAACGCCACGGCACGCTCGAGCACAGCGCGCGACACGCAAAACTTTTTTTTTCAAAACTCGAACACAAATATGGCGACAACGGACGTCCGGACAAAAGCAGACGCGGGAAAACCGAGAGCAGGTAGCAGACGAAACCTGGTGGACGCACACGCCACGGAACGACAACGTGGTTGACGCGATTTCCGCCGAAAATCTCCCAAATAAAAGTGAAAACAACGGGTACAATACGCGGGGATCGAAGGATTTCGATGAACGACACCTCCAACACGGTGCGTCCGTTTTCATTTCGGAGCCGGAGCAATTTTTGGAACGCGGTTTAAGGTTCCGGGGCGTGCCGCGCACCACGTGTTCCACAAGAACGTGTTGGATGTTACGACGGGTCAAAAGCACTAATAAAAAGGATCAAACTCAACGAAAGATCGTAAGAGAAACAAAAACGAAAAGGTCCGCAACACCAGGAGGTCGAGCGCGGACAACGTCCGATTTTAAAGGGCAGCAGCGCCGGGCGTGCGCACCAGCTGAGTCGGCGGAAGTGAGACGAAACAGCTGAACCGGCGCGACGGCGGCAAAAATCGCGTTTCAAAACGAACATCTCGCAAAATAAGCACAGGGACAGGTTGCAAGAGCGATCCGCGCGAGTTGTCCGCCGAAAATCCGAGCAGGCGGTCGCGAGACGGACAAGTACGACGCCGAAAGCGGGCCGCCGGCGCCGACCGACCATGCGGCGCCGTCGAGACTCCGAACAGCTGGCGTACCGAACGCCGGCATCACGCTGTCAGGGCGACGCACGCAGCCGGCCGGCCGGCACGCCGACGCCAGCCGAGTTGCCGGCGTTCTTTAGCGCTGCCGACGCCGCACACCAACGATCGCGAACCGGCGGAAACGAAATCGCGAGATCGGCGAAGGGATCTCTCGGAGTCGTCGGAGAACACACACACGCACGCATCAGCCGTGTCACACCCTTACCTGACCAGGCTGCCGATCACTTCTTCTTCTTGCCGGCGAAAGTCGTTCAGTATCCGTCGTTTTTTCGCTGCTCCGATGGTACAACGCCATCACCCGAACGGCCGTATCCGCAAAACAGGTGCAATCGAGCTGATCTCCGACGCAAAATCCAAAAATCCACCGCCGCTATTTACAAAGGCGGCTCCGCTTGATTCACGGAATGGCTACCTTTGGCGGGAAACGCGGCGAGCGTGCCAGCGCGTATCACTCCGCGGACCGGCGCGCTCATTTATGTCGCGCTACTCGCCCGCCTTCCCCGATACACGTCAAGCTTCGTCCCATAAGTAACGCTAAACGCGATATTTGCGACAGAAAGCTCGAGAAGCAATGCAACTTTGCAAAACCGGGGGGACTAGCTTCCGCCGCGGAGGTATCTCACTGCGCTGTATGTCTATCAGCTGTCGTGCTGGCAGCCACACGCTTTCAGCTGAGTCTCCGTCTTGAGAGAATTGCTGCCGTCTGTGACGCATTTATCAAGCTCCGCCGCGTCCACACGAGGAACAATGCCGGAAAAAATATATTACAAAACTTAACGTGCATTTTTGCGTTATTTGCAAGCCTAATACGAACCTCGAGTTGTTTAAAACAGCAAAGTATTCCAAAGTTTAGTTCGAGATGACTCCATTTTCTCCATAGTACGCTACTACGTCGGGAATTCCGGTCGACCAATAGGAGGAGAGTCACGTGACCGGGGAGCCGTTACGTCAATCAATAGTGGCGGGGAACGGCTGCATCTGTTTTTGCGTTGTTGGAATGCTTTTTTTTCATCGCTCTCTCCCTCGTTCTTTCTCTCTCTCTCAGCGCGTTTCTCCTCTCTCGCGCTTTTTCGCTCGCGCTCTTTCTTTGGACGCCATCTTTACAGGCCATTTTTGTTTTCTCTCTGCGAGTTCGGCTGCTCCGGGGGGGGGGGGGAGCGGCGGCGGAGCGGGCGGCTGGGGCATTTTGGCTCGCCGGTCTTCTTCGCACGGTAGCTTCGCGCGCCGCCCGCCGCCGACAGACGCTTCAAAATGCCGACAACCTCAACATCCGTCTCTCGCCGTGTACGCACTCCTTCGAATCGAGCATTTACATTATTCCCGTACGTTGTTTAGGCGGGAGAAAATGTTTGTTCGCCGCGGCGCGAGTCCGCCGCCAGCTAGCGCCGTCTGGGCGCTTCAGGAAGCAGACGACACTTTGTTTTAGCCCGTCTGTCGCGGCCGAGAAGGACGCGACAGCCGGAAAATGCTCGGCTGGTCAAGTTAAGCGGATTTTATTGTTTTAGAGGTTTTATTTGTCGTTGGTTGGTTCTTTCGGCGAAATGTCCTTATGCATTGCGAACGCTTTGATGTATGCCCGCTAAATGCTGCCCTTAGCGTGTTTCTTTCTAACAATTACCTTTCTTTCTTTCTTTTTTTTTTTCTATGCACGTTTGTTTGCTTTTTGTTTGAAGTTATCTAATAATTTAATTTAATATTTTTAACATAATTTGAGTGGCATGCCCCTCCTTGCGTTCCGATTCGCCGAAGACGTATTTTTGGAGCACTTTCTCGCCGTGTAGGAACACGAACATTGCCGAATGTTTCGGGTGCGGGCGTCGTCCCCTGCGCCTAAAACCACAATGCCGCCGTACGGAACGCTTTGACACTTAATCCTGTGTTCCGGAGGCTTTTTTTTTTTTTTTTTTTTTTTTAATGCTGTTTAATTTTGGCGAGCTACGGCGCGCGTCAGCTCCAACCTTTCCCGTGTAATTAAAACAGCCCGTAGAAAAAGAAAAGAAAAATTAGGTCGCCTTACACGGCGGCACCGAGTTAATCAAAATTTTTATCCGTTTTCCTCCTAGCCACTTACGAGATAGCGAATTGAATTGCGGGGTTTTCTTCTCCAAAACGTGGCGTCATACACTACTTTCGAGGGCTGGTTTTCCCAAACTCCGCAATTGTCAGTCAATGGACGCCTTGCGGGCCGTTGACGGTGGCCGAGTGGTCTAGCGCACACCACCTCGGAGCACGTGGAGCGAAAGCTCGCGCTGCAGAACCCGGGTATCCTGGGCTCGAGCCCCACCTCTGCCCGTTTCGATCTGGATGAGCATCGTACCGGCGTGCGGTCGTGTATCACTACTGCGTGGTGCACGTTAAAGACCCCAGGCTAGCGGCTGTACTGCACTGGCTAAATTGCTCATCTACAGCTGGGAGACTCGTCGCCCCTGTGAGGCAGACCAAGTTCTAGGCTGTATAAACACACACACAACCCAATTATTATTGCGGGCCGTTTTGTCGGGTTCCGCCAATGCGGAGCGCCAGTTCGTCCGCTTCTCCCCTTAGGGGCTGCAGTGACGTCAGAACGACGGGCTCTGATTGGCTCCGATTGCAAGGGCAGTGAGTAGGCCTAGTGGCAGGCCTCAATGCTCGGAGCTCGGCGTTCTGACGTCAACGCAACCCCTGCGGACTACAGACGCTGCAGACCTTCATGAATACACGGATGGATGGGTGGTAATGGTTACACCCTTTGTAACGGGCGGCAGCTTGCGCCACCTAGCCTGTGCATGACGTGATCGTTGGTAGCATAGCCCTTTTTACTAGAATTTGGCCAATTCGTCGAAAGCCCATTGGTCGACGGACAACCCGAAGATGGACAATTTGTCGAAGAGGACAATTCGCCCTAGGCCGATTCGCAGAACGGAATTGGGCGAAAGTGCCCTTTCGTCGTCGAACGGTCGAAAAGAGTTGCACAGGGTGTGTAGAGTTATCCGAAAACGTTGGGAGTCAACAATGGGACCCTGTTTGCCAAAAATAAAAGATTACAAATTCAGTTCTCAGAATTTACAAGGGTCCGGTAGTAGATCCGTGAAAATTTGGGCAGTTCAAAATGATAAAAGCCTCGCTCTGCGTGAAGACGTTCCCTCGACTCTATCACTGTGGAATTCGGGAATACCGAGCGAAGGGCTAATCTTCTGATCCTGGATGGTCATATGTACACCCGTAATACGGGTAGAGCCAACACCACCTTGCTCTTGGTGCAGCCACCTCAGCATCAGACACGTAGCCAGGATTTTGTTTCGGGGGGGGGGGGGGGGGGGGGGCGCTTATGACAAAATGCTGTATGAGGGGGAGGGGGGAGAGGAAGCCCCAGCAAAATTAAAGATTTGGGGCAAAGGCCATGCCCCCCCCCCCTGGCTACGTGCCTGCTTGGGGCAATGGACTTGTCAGAAAAGTCTGCAAGGCAACGTTGGCTAACAACCTCGAAGGCACGGCTATCGTCAGAAGACAATGAAACCTGTTTTCGCAATTATTCTTTCTACAACTCTGTAAAGACAAAATTTGTATGGAACCAGAAAAATCTCATTGCAGTTGTCCCAGACCTTTTTTTAACTACACGTAGCAGAGCGCGTCGGATGGAGTACAATTCAAACAGACGAGTCGCCGCAAAGCGGCATACTTGTCCGTCTTCTCGTCGCCGCCTGCTGGCGTCGCGCTTGCTATGAGACGCTGCAAGACGCGTGGGCGGCGACGCTGACGCAAGCCAGGCGACGCTGCCTGGATGATGATAGCGTTCGGGGGGTAAAGACGCGAACCTTGAGTTCTAGACCGTATGCGGGGGGATCGGTGCCCGAGTGGGCTAGCGCACACCAGCGCAGAGCACGTGGAGCGAAAGCTCGCGCTGCAGAACCCAGAGATCCTGGGCTCAACCCCCATCCCTGCCCGTTTCGATTTGGATGAGCATCGTACCGGCGTGCGATCCTGTATAGACCTTTGCGGAAATCGCCTCCTGCGCGCTGCCATCTTTGTCTGCTGGGCTGTGGAACGCCTTCCAAGCATGCGCTGTTCTGCTGTGCGGTATATCGGACGCTGCGCATGCTTCCACAGCTCAGTGACTCAGCATTTTTGCCCGCTCGCTTCGTTCGAGACTGCCGCTGGAAAGGTCTATAGGGCCGCCCACACTAGCGAGAAAACGCGCGTGGCACGTCGATCGCGGGAAGTAACAAAAAGTCACCGTAGCACAGTCAGCGCCAAGAGCGCGTGCAGAAGAGCCCACGCCCTTTATCTTCCCGCTCAACCGATTTTGCGGAACGCGTTTTCAACGCGATCGGCGCGCCGCTCGCGTTTTCTCGCTAGTGTGGGCGGCCCTTATCACTACTGCGTGGTGCACGTTAAAGACCCCAGGCTAGCGGTTGTACAGCTCTGGCTAAATTTCTTATCTATTGATGGGAGACTCGTCGCCCGTTGACGCACACCAAGTTATAGGCTCTATAAACGTACACACAACCCGACATTTTTAAATGGTATGCGGAGCGTGAGTTCGTCTGCTACTTTTGCAGGGGTCGTGGTAATGTCAGAACGCCGAGCTATGATTGGCTCTGATTGAAGGATAGTGGGTAGACCTCAAGGCTTGGGGTCCTGTGAGGTCTACCGACTCAATCAGAGACAATCATAGCTTGGCGTTCTGACGTCATCACAAACCCTGTGCAAAAGAAGCAGACGAAAGAAGCTGCGGATGGGCTATGAGGCGTAAAACAGGCCACTGTATTGCTATCGCAGTGCGCGTAGAGACCCGTTTGGTGAGCCGGGGGTTACTCTGCTCATACATAATACAAAAGACAGAGTGGAAACACGAGTCGCCGTTATATGTCCCTGGTTTGAATGTACGCGTGCCAAGTGTTGTCCTCGAACTCATTGCCACGCGGCATTCGAAGCGCGCATCTCGCGGCCACTCGCGTTCGAATCTGCGTGCTGTTTTTTGCATGGTGTATAAACAGTGCGATAAACAGGCTGCAGGGATGCCGCGAAGATTTGTCGAACCTCGAGAACCTTCGAGCGTTCGACAAAGCTCGACAAATTGGATAAGGGGGTATTCAATAGAAGCCATATTTGAGGGCAGTGTTTAGAGCGCATGCTCAGAACGAGCTCACATTACTAGGCTGCTAAGGCCGGCAATCTTGATGGTGAGGAATGTACGTTGCAAGAGAACTGTGGAAGCCCGCCGTCAGCACGCGCTCCACAGCCGCGTGCACAGCTATGGCTGCCCCACACTGGCGCGCTAACTTGTTTTTGAGCGGGGGGGGGGGGGGGGGGCAAACCAGACCCCCCCCCCCCCCTCAAGGGGCGGGGGAGGCGGTGCCCTTGGTATTCCTTGGGCGCCGCCAGCCAGTGTTTGCCCTGCCCAGTGGTGGTTGTTTCGGGGGGGGGGAGCAATACATATGCCTTGCCCCCCCCCCCCCCCCCCCCCCCCCGTTGGTACGCCCATGCCGGCACGGAATACACCGTAATGGCGACGTGCGCGATC